AATGGGCTTAGACTGGAGTGACTCTACATGGGGTTGTGCTGTCAGGCATGCATCCCATACCACTCATATTCGGGTTTTAAGACTGGGGTGCATAGATTTCCTAAATCCATCTGTGCCCGTTTTGGACCTCACTCTGGGCACTTGTCCTTCAAGCATCTGCTCTTGAGGAACAGTGTATTTGCTGGACCTCCCTTGCTGGTTTGGTGAAGACTTTAAGGTACAATTGTGTGCCTCTAGTCCTTTTAAAGTGATGCAGCTCCCTAAAAGGGAGGAAAATGTAGGCAGTCGTGTTGGTAAGTGCTGTCAAGTCACAGTTGACTTGCAGCAGTCCCGTAGGGTTTTTAAGGCATGAGACAAAGAGAGGCGGTTTGCCGTTTTCTGGCGTTGCCTAGCGACCCCGAACTTCCTTGGTGGTCTCCCATCCAAGTCCTAACCAGGGCTGACCCTGCTTAGCTTCTGAGGTATGACAAGATCGGGCTTGCCAGGGCCATCTAGGTCAGGGCACGTTGGTCCATAGCAACATCCAAATCCATGTAGTACCTTTTTTGTTAAGACCTGCCAGAGTAACACGACACGGTGCTCAAGCTGTTACCTTCTCCAGAGCTCTTCATCAGGCTGATTCTTAAAAATGGGGAGGGAGGAGAGTCAACAGGAGGGCTCATCTTTCAGACCTCTTTATTTGCGGACAAACGCCATGACCTGAAATAAGTCTAGGGCTCCCAAATCTCGCCAAATCACGACGGGGGATCCGCATGTCTTTGCAGAATCCGTGCCGTGGGGACAGCGAGATGCGTTGCACTGCCATTGCCAGGACATGATGCTACGCGTCGCTCTGGCAACGGGGCTCCAAACAGGAGTTCTGGAGAACGTCAAAGGTATTACATAGGTTTTTTGTTTTGGAATTCCCTGGGAGCAGCAAAACTGACGTGGTCTGCCGGACTTTTCCAAACAGCAGTGTTTCTCCCCCGTGTTCAAATCTGGCTTATGTGTATATATTTAGTAAAAGATTTCTACCCTGCTTTCTGGTCTGTAGTGCCCCCGGGCAGCTTACAACAATATATTAAAAAGTATGTAATAAAAACAGAAAATGTTTAAAAATACTGTTTAGGGTATACGATAAAAGCAGAATAGAATCACAGGAAAACAATTTAGCGGTTGGGGGGAATAACACTGAAAAGTTTGGTGGGAAAAGTAGGCAGAATTCCTCAAGGCCGCAAGAGAGGATGTTGGTCATTGCCCCCAGGCTGAGAAAAAAGTATTGGCTGTTGTTAATTACTTTGCCCTGAATGGGGAAGGGCAGAGGATGCAGCCTCTTGACAACTATCACAGTTTGGGTTGCATTGTATCACTCCATTCATCTAACTAAGAAGGCTTCTGCTGGTGGAAAGCCCCTTACAGCGGTGGAAAGCTCCATATTTTGCTCAGCAGAATAATGGTGTCCAACTTACTGTTGGGAAGATTGTCTAGGGGTGTCAGACCTCATCACAGTGTGCCCCAGAACTCTTTCAAGTCATTCCTGGGGAAGCTGGCTGTCAGAGTCCAACTGAAAGGATCAGGTCTTAGGTGATGGGAGAGACGTCTGCCTGAGACCCCGGTGAGCTGCTGCCAGTCAGGGTTGGTGAGTGGTCTGACTCGGTGAAAGGCAGCTTCATTGGTGTTCATAACAGCGGCTGACTGGGCTCCTCAAAGTTAGCGATTCTTCTGTGCCAGGTGAACTGCGAGACTGACTTTGTGGCCCGAAATACCAAATTCCAACATCTGGTTCAGCAAGTTGCAATTGGGACGATGCAGCATTATCGGGGGACTGTGGAGCAGCCAAGTACCTATGCCAAGGTAAGAGTGGCGTTAAAAAGTTCCCAGTCTAATAACACCTGCTGTCATGGGACATTTTCACTGTCTTTAGCATGGCAAAGTAATGGGTTGAAGTATAGTGTGGAATGGATCTTATGAGGCATCGGCTTGAATCCAATGAAACGTTTTCACGGTTTGAATGATTTCTACCTTCGGAGTGTGGATTTCTTGCCTCCCTCCCCTTCCTACTGCAGCCCCCGATGCCCCCCCCCTTTGAGGGGAGGCAAGAAGTCATATTCCTCATTTCCATTCACAGAAACAAGCTGTTGGATCCAAGCCACATTTTAGGATTCAAGTTGAATGTTATTAAATCATAGAATTGAAGGAACCGCATGGTCATCTCCATGTTGGGCACCCGATGGCCCATTAGCTGGATCTGGATTTTAACCTCTGCTTTATGCAATATACAGCCAAACTGGGAGATTTCTGGGCTACTCTTTCTCTGTGCAACCTACCACAAAGGGTGGTTGTGAGAAAAACTGGAGGAAAAGAGAAGCACATATGTCACCCTGAGCAGGATAAAAATGTTGTAGACCTTTTTTTAAAGGAAAATTTCACAGTTTGAAGAAGTAGGGACAAACTGGGACAATAATATATCTGTTTCTCAAATGTGGCCCCCATCTGCGGATACCTAAATTACAGATTTGGGGCCACATTTACCCAAAACAGAAAGTGCTGCAAACTTGGCGGACTGCCCAGGTTTGCAGGAAAATCTGAAAACTTAAAAAAAAATACATTGGGTGGGTTTAAATTCCCTTAAAATAGAGGAGTGTTATCTGCACATGTGCTGTTGGAGCTGTGGGAGGGGGGAGGCACTTCAGGCAGGCGATGGCTGGCAAATGAAGTGAGGAGGGTTGGAGGGCAGAGCACCAGCCAGAGAGAGAAAGTGGTATTGGAGACTTTCTGATGTGGCAGAGTGGACTGTACCTCTTAACTCTACCAGGAAAGATTCAGTTATTAATACTCCCTATGTAAGAAAACTCCTTGCAGTTAATTTTTTAAACCCAAAATCTAGCACC